AAGCAAATGACAAAGGATTAATCTCCAAAATTTACAAGCAGCTCATGCAGCTCAATAACAAAAAAACAAACAACCCAATCCAAAAATGGGCAGAAGACCTAAATAGACATTTCTCCAAAGAAGATATACAGAATGCCAACAAACACATGAAAGAATGCTCAACATCCCTAATCATTAGAGAAATGCAAATCAAAACTACAATGAGGTATCATCTCACACCAGTCAGAATGGCCATCATCAAAAAATCTAGAAACAATAAATGCTGGAGAGCGTGTGGAGAAAAGGGAACACTCTTGCACTGCTGGTGGGAATGTGAATTGGTTCAGCCACTATGGAGAACAGTATGGAGGTTCCTTAAAAAACTACAAATAGAATTACCATATGACCCAGCAATCCCACTACTGGGCATATACCCTGGGAAAACCAAAATTCAAACAGAGTCATGTACCAAAATGTTCATTGCAGCTCTATTTACAATAGCCCGGAGATGGAAACAACCTAAGCGCCCATCATCGGATGAATGGATAAAGAAAATGTGGCACATATATACAATGGAATATTACTCAGCCTTAAAAAGAAATGAAATTGAGCTATTTGTAATGAGATGGATAGACCTAGAGTCTGTCATACAGAGTGAAGTAAGTCAGAAAGAAAAAGACAAATACCGTATGCTAACACATATATATGGAATTTAAGGGGAAAAAAATGTCATGAAGAACCTAGGGGTAAGACAGGAATAAAGACGCAGACCTACTGGAGAACGGACTTGAGGATATGGGGAGGGGGAGGGGTGAGCTTTGACAGGGCGAGAGAGAGTCATGGACATATACACACTAACAAACGTAGTAAGGTAGATAGCTAGGGGGAAGCAGCCGCAAGGCACAGGGATATTAGCTCGGTGCTTTGTGACAGCCTGGAGGGGTGGGATAGGGAGAGTGGGAGGGAGGGAGACGCAAGAGGGAAGACATATGGGAACATATGTATATGTATAACTGATTCACTTTGTTATAAAGCAGAAACTAACACACCATTGTAAAGCAATTATACCCCAATAAAGATGTTTAAAAAAAATAATAATTGAACAGACACTTATAGAACACTCTATAGTAGGGGTAAAAAGGGCTCTCTTTACATGCTGAGAAGGGCACATAATTAAAAAGAGAGGCACCAGAATAAAAGAACAGAAATACTTCCATGAGGCCACTGAGGTAAGATACCAAAATGAGGTATCACTAGTAAAGAAAACTACAGACCACTATCTCTTAGGAGTACAGATGCAAAATCCTCAACAAAATACTAGCAACATATAAAAATAATTATATACCACAACTAAGTGGAATTTATCCCAAGAATGCAAGGTTGGTTTAACATCTGATAATTAATTAATTTAATATACCATAACAACAGAGTAAATCCCCAAAACCCACATAATCCCCTCAATTGATACAGAAAGAGCATTTGATAAAATCCAACAGCCTTTCATGATAAAAAACATTCAACAAATTAGGAATAGTAGGGAACTTCCTCAGCTTGATAAAGAGCATTTATAAAAATCCCACACATCACAATAAATGATGAAAAACTGAAAGCTTTCTCTGAGAAATCAGGAAAAAGACAAAGATGCTCACTTTCACCACTTCTATACTGCAAGTTCTAGCCAGAGCAGTTTAGCCAAGAAAAGGAAATAAAAGGCATCTAAAGTTGATAAGAAAGAAAACTATTACTATTCGCAGATGACATGATCTTACATATAGAAAATCCTAAAGAATCCACAAGAAAACTATTAGAGCTAACAAATGAATTCAGTAAAGTTGAAGGTACAAGATAAACACACGAAAAGCAGTTACATTTCTATACACTTAGTGAACAATCAGAAAATGAAATTAAGAAAACAATTTCTATTTATAATAGCATTGAAAATAATAAAATACTCGGGGATAAACTGACTCCAGGAGGTGTAAGAATTGTACATTTCAAACTACAAAACACTGCTGAAAGAAATTAAAGATGGCCTAAATAAGTGGAATGATAGTCCATGTTCATGGACTGTAAGACTTAATATTGTTAAGATGGCAATACTCCCTAAAGGAATCTACAGATTCAGTGTAATCCTGACCAAACCGTTAAAGCTGATCCTAAAATTCACACGGAACTACAAGGGACCCAAATAGCCAAAACAATCTTGCAAATGAAAAAAAAAAACCAAAGTCAGAGGACACACAGCTCCCGATTTCAAAACAGAGCCTGCAAACCATAGTAATCAAAACAATGTAGCAGGGCTTCCCTGGTGGCGCAGTGGTTGAGAGTCCGCCTGCCGATGCAGGGGACATGGGTTCGTGCCCCGGTCTGGGAAGATCCCACATGCCGCGGAGCTGCTGGGCCCGTGAGCCATGGCCGCTGAGCCTGCGCATCCGGAGCCTGTGCTCCGCAATGGGAGAGGCCACAACAGTGAGAGGCCCACGTACCGCAAAAAAACCCAAAACAAACAAACAAAAACGGGTGGGTATGGGGAGTAACTACTTAATGGACACGAGGCTTCCCTGTGGGATGATGAAACACTGTGGTGATGACTACGCAATACTGTGAATATACTAACGTCAGAGAATTGTGTACTTTATAATGCTTAAATTTATGTTAAATGAATTTTACCTCAATTAAAAAAAACTATTTCTAAACACGATGAACAAGTTGAATGTGAGATTGGGAAAACAATTACATCTATAATAGCATCAAAAAGAATAAAACATTTAGAAATAAATTTAAGAAAAGAAATACTGAATTATACTTGAAAACTACAAAGTATTGTTAAGATGGCAATCCTCACCAAATTGATCTGTGGAGTCAAAGTACTCCCTCCCTATCAGAATCCTGACTAGCTTTGTCGTAGAAATTGACAAGCTGACCCTAAAATTCACATGGAATTGCAAGGGACCTCACACAGTCAAAACAATCTTGAAAAAGAACTAAGTTGGAGGACTCTCACTTCCTGATTTCAAAACTTATTACAAAGCAACAGTTACCAAGACTGAGTTAAACAGGTATCATTCAACCCAGCAATCCTACTCCTAGGTATATACCCAAGAGGAATGAAAACCCATATCCACACAAAAGTTATACAGTAGCATTGTTCGTAACGGCCAAAAGGTGGAAACAACCCAAATGTCGATGAGCTGATGGATGAACAAAGTGTGGTGTGTCTACACAGTGGAATATCATTTGGCCATAAGAATGAACAAAATTCTAATACATGCTAAAAACACAGATGAACCTTGAAAACATGCTAAGTGAAAGAAGCTAGTCATAAGGGTCACATATCGTATGGTTCCACTTATACGAAACGTCTGGAATAGGCAATCTACAGAGACGTAAAGTTAAAGTAGGTTAGCAGTAGCCTAGGGCTGGAGGACAGAGGATTAGGAGGTGATAGTGAAAGGATACAGGGTTTCTTTCTTGGGTGAAAAAATGTTCTAAAATTGATTGTGGTGAGAGTTTAGCAACTCTATATAAACATACTAAAAAACCACTGAATTATACAGTGTAAATGGATAAATTGTATGGTATGTGAATTATATCTCAATAAGGCTCTACAAAAAAAAAAAAAAAAAAAAAGAGAGAGAGAGAAAAGAAAAGAGGAGGATAGTGACCGGAGGGGCGGGGGGCGCGAGTTTCTGACCTGCTGGTAACGCGGCCTGTGCCTTGATCTGGATGCTGGTTACATGGGTTAGGTCTGCTTACCGCAATTCTTTGAGCTGTATGCAGTTATGAAATGTAGAGTTCTCTGTATATGTTATTATACTTCAACCAAAAATGTAAAACTACATTTTATGGTTAGCACCTAGACCTTTTAAGTACCTAAATAAAAACAAAGCATTCCAGCTTATATCAAAAAACGAAATGGCGACCACACTCAGCAGGTCACCTCCTATGCAACCTCAATAAGAGGAAAAGGTACTGAGGACAGACAGCCTTGTTGACGGCAAGAAAACTGCACTGTCTTAAAACTTAAGAAAATTTATCCAGGGCCCAGGGTCAAAAATTATTTGCCAATAGTGATGAGAAAATAATTATGTTATATTATTAAACTTACGGTGGAAAAAACTAGACAGAGAATATATTCATGGCTCTGCCACTTACTGTGTGACTTCAATAAAATCAATTAACTTTTTACTACCTCCTTACTCTGTTCTTGGGCATAACCCACTTTGTGTGATTTTGCAGACAGTCAGAGAAGGCCTGATATATGAAAGCACTCCAAAAAAACAAAAAAGGTTAAGGAAATGTACAATGGCATTATAGTTCAAAATGAAACCAAAAGCTCTTCAGTGAAATATTAATAAATCTAGGAGTTCACTCAATTATTCTCTAAAAAAGCATTCCAAATTTAGTTACTAAAATTTCCCAAATAATTATACAAACAACTTTTCGGAGGCTATAAATATGTCATGTGATTTGATTATTTAAAGCAAGAGCTGGGTTTCCCTTGTGGAGCAGTGGTTAAGAATCTGCCCGCCAATGCAGGGGACACGGGTTCAAGCCCTGATCTGGGAAGATCCCACATGCCAGAGAGCAACTAGGTCCGTGCGCCACAACTACTGAGCCTGCGCTCTAGAGCCCAAGAGCCACAACTACTGAAGCCCGGGAACCTAGAGCCCCTGCTCTGCAACAAGAGAAGTCACCATAATGAGTAGCCCCCGCTCACTGCAACTAGAGAAAGCCCGCGCACAGCAACAAAGACCCAACACAGCCATACATACATAATAAGTAAATAAATAAATGTTTAAAAAAATAAAGCAAGAGCTGCAGTGTCAAGCAGAATAATGGTCTGACATCTTTACAATACGACACACTGTTAATCATCACAAAGACTTTGGTTAGCATATATAGTAAGTAGGCTAATTTTATCTCTCCTTTGTTTCTTCTACCACCTAAAAGCTACAAACGGGATCTGATGCTAAGATCTGAGCGAAACAATCCTGGCGCAGAGGCACAGGGGTCACTACCTGCACAGCAGAGCTGTCGGCCGACCCGGGGTGGGAGTCCTCAGTGGGGCCGGCAGAGCCCAGAGCCGTCAGCAAGACACCTCCTCCCAGGAACTCGTCTCCACGAACCGAATGGATGAGATCATTCAAATATTTATAATAAAGGTTGCTGGACAAAAAGCCAGGCAAAAATACCTGAAGAGAGGATACAATTTATTTTAAAGTTGAAATCAAATACACTAAAACTTTATTTTACAACAAAATTTTACTTTCAATGCTACCAGTTAGCACACGATTTTACTCTTCTTACACTCCAAGTATTATCCCTGTGTACACAGTTTACATTGTAACTAAAACTACAATGTGTACAATTTATAGATTTTTTCCCTCAGAAAACTTGCCATGAAACTACTGAATGGACTTGATTATCTAGACTTCTTAGATAACAGGGAGGGATCTAATTTGAAGCTACATTTTTCTTGTTTGTTATAAATATTGAAGTCTTTGTGTATATACTGATTTTCACTTTTGATCTGATTTCCTTAAGATAAATTACCAGGAGTGTGATTACTAAGTTAAATGATATGAACATTTTAGCTTTGATAAATGTGGAGGATGCATCACTAGCATCATCAAGGCATCTGTCTTGACATGGGCTTCCCAACACTGGGTTCTGTCTTTTCAAATAGTTGTTAAATAAATGTCTAATGGTACATGGATACTTTTATTTCCATTTAAAAATTATTAATGATGTTAAGTTCCCATCTTTATTACTGGCATTTCCTATTACCAACTTTTCCTTCACAGCATTTAGCCCAACTGTAAATATTTATGTCTGTGTTTAATATGTGCTCTCCTTATAGACAGAGCTCCAGGAGGGCAAAAGCTATGTTTCTTTTTTTGTTTACCCCATAACAATACCTAGCAGAGAAATACTCAAAGTATTAGGGAACGAAGCATACGTATCTTTTTACCATGTACCTACTTGATAGTACTCTTAAAAATTAAAATTAGTATAAGTTCCCTAGATACACAGTTAGTAAGAAATACTTTTACATTTTGTTTTTCTCTGTATTTTAACTTTATTACCCAGAAAGTTTACATTCTTTATATGATACATATCTTGAACTTTTCCTTTAAGATCAGAAAATTTTAATTTTAATCATGAAAAAATTATCGATCTTGGACAACAGCCGATAGTCTATCCAGTTTTACTACCAGCCTTTCAACGATTTTATTCTTTTTTTTCTTTGCGGTACACGGGCCTCTCACTGTTGCGGCCTCTCCCGTTGCGGGGCATAGGCTCCGGACGCGCAGGCTCAGTGGCCATGGCTCACGGGCCCAGCCCTCTGCAGCATGTGGGATCTTCCCGGACCGGGGCACAAACCCGTGTCCCCTGCATCGGCAGGTGGACTCTCAACCACTGTGCCACCAGGGAAGCCCCGATTTGATTTTTGTATGTAACTCCTCCATATTCCTGAAATTCAGTTTTTATGTGTGGTATCATGTGGCAGTGCTTACTTAATCCCTTTCCACCTAGATGCACATGACACATATGAGCAAAATAACCTCGTGGGCTTATCCTGGGCTCTTGCAATTCCTAGTAAAATCTACTTTAGTTCATCAGAACAACAACTAATTCACAAATTCCAACACTTTATTAGCAGCCATTAGTGATACTCTGTAAGTGATCATGATGCAGAAAACTAGTGCTCCAACCCTGCTGGAGAGTTTTGGTGAAATATTTGGATCATCCCTAAGCTAACTTTGCTCAATACTAATTATCTAAAAGATGTTATAATAACAGTAATAATAGCAGTTAACATTTTTTAATGCTTATGTTGCTAATAAGCACTCTCCACGTCGTACCTCATTTTTATCCTCAAAATAACTCTAAGTATCTGTATTAGCCCCATTTCACAGAGGAGGAACATGGCATTAAAGGACTTCAGTAGCTGCCTGAAGTCACTCAGCCTGTGAGGGTTAAGATTAATACATACCAAGTCAGACTCAAAGCCCCCGCTCTCACCACTGCTGCGCTGCTTCCACTTCCCACTGTTCTGTTCTGTTTGCTTTTTCCCATGTTCTATTTTCTGGGCTCCACCAGTTAAAAACTTCTTGTAGTTTAATGCTTTTCAAGTTTTGGTTACCTTCTCCATGGTTGTCCAGGCCTGACGTAACGGAGTGGTGAAACAGTTAGGGAGTGGCCCACCTTCCCTGCAGATGTTGGATTCAATTTCCAGTCGTACAACATCATCGAATCCAAGAGGATGTGTGGCCTGGAGGGAGAAGTACCTATGGCAGAAAGAGAGCCAAAGTAAACCCCAACTTCACAGCAATCATAAGCAATTTCTGGCACCTACACCAGAGAACCTTCTATGAGGCTCCTGCAGACCTAGGACTATAGAGCTGGGTTGATGACAGCCCTGCTGCAACCTGTATTCCCACCACCGAAGAGATATCTGAGCCAATGTGCCCCTCATCCCTATCTGCCTGCCACCATCTTTAGTTCTTGTTTAAGATTTTCCAGGTCAGGTTACAACTGAGGCAAAGAAACCAATTGCACACGTTTAATGGGCACCTAGTCTCTGTTCAGTGCTTGGGAGAAAGAAACAAATTTAAAACAGGGTAAGACATGGGCATGTCCCCTGGAAAGAGAACAGAAAAGATCCCTGTACAGGGTACAAAGGAGAACATACCAGCATAACTATGTGGCATACATAACATACATGTAGGAATTCAAAACAAAATAGCATTGAGGGTGAAGTGGATGAATTTGATGTATTTAGGTAGAATAACAGGATTTGCTAACGATTTGGTGTAGAAAGGAAAAGGAGTAATCAGTGATAACTCAAAGATTTCTAACTTCATAGGATATAATGCAACTGGTGTTTTGGTAAACTGGTTATAAACTGAATACAAAAAAAGCATTAAAAGCAGAAAAACATATATGTTGTCTTTTGAGCATTCTGCGGCTTCTAACTCCTGTCCATGATACAAATACAGACAGGCTGATGAGGCATGATATTAAAAAGTAAAGATAGAAAAACAAATAAGCAGGAGCTGTTAAAATGACAGTGCCGGGAGGATGTCACACAGTAATCTTCATTTAAAAATGGCTCCCAATTTGAAAATGGGATCCAGTCTCTGCTCTGCATGGCACTGAGCTCCAGGCAGGACCTTACCACTGCCACTCTTCTATTCCAGCAAGAGAAAACTCTTCTTTTATCTTGCTATCAGTATTTTCTTAACAAAAAGTGAGTCTCCCATCATGCAACAACTAAGTTGGCAAATATTCCTCCACGATTTGAATTTTGGGGCAGCCCAGACCTTTTTTGGGGGGCTATGTTGCGCGGCTTGTGGGATCTTAGTTCCCCAACCAGGGATTGAACCCAGGCCCCGGCAGTGAAAATGCGCAGTCCTAACCACTGGACCACCAGGGAATTCCCTCAAATTTCTAAAGGTAAATGCTTGCTACATTAACATCCATATAACAATGTTTCTTATATAATATTTTCCCACAAATATACTGCACAAAAATAAACACTGGACAAACATTAGAATTGCATTCAAGTTCTGCCACTAATTTGCCCTGTGACTTGGAGAAAGTCACTACCCCTGAAAGCCTTAGTTTTCTCATCTGCAAAATGCGAAAATCAAACCAGCTCCCTAATCTGGCTATTCATCAGAATCAGATTCCTGGGTCACACCTCAAACCTGCTGAATCAGAATCTCTTAGAGAAGAGGACTGGAAACCTATTTTTGACAAGCTCCCAGGTGACTCTCATGCCGACAGGAGCACGGACCAGCCCGGTGATGTTCGGGAACCACTGACCTAGATGCTCTCAGTTCTCTCCCAATCCTAATATCCCATGGATTTTTCTCTGCCTCTCAAGTTATCTTCTTAGCAAATGTTCACAGGCACAAATAACACATTTCTTTATAGAACAAGAAAAGTTAGATGAAAGGGGGGACAGACACAGTTTTCAATTCTGTTCACTAAGATTGTGCTGCCCTCTCATTTTCAGTGAAAACTAATGAATAACTACTCTTCACCAAGCAGTTAATCTGGCTGAGCAGACTTGCACCAGAAAACATGGTATACTCCACACAGACATTTAAGACCCTTTGCAATAGATTCCAGCTAGTTTCATCTTCTCCTGTTCCCTTGACCAAGTGTCAATTACGCAAAGTTTCTATGGCGCTGCTCGTACCGATGACTGCCAAGAGTGTCCTTCCCTGCTAGCAGAATTCAATCCATTCTTCAGTCGCCAATCAAATCTCCCTTCTGTGAAGCCCTCAGTGACCTCCACCAACATCATCTTGCTTGCCACACACAAGCCTCCCCCTGCCCCGCCGGCAACTTATTCTAAGAACCCCCTACTCTGAACACACCAATGAAAAGCAGCTCTCATGCGGCTCCCTGTGAGCTCCCTGGCGGCAGAGACCAAGGTGACTTCTGAAATACGCTTCAAGTACTCAATATTCGCAGAAAGCTGGATGTGTCTATCACTAAGACTCACTTGTCATATAAAATCATGGCGTCGTTCTGTGCCTCCTGCCCATCATACTGGCCCTTTTTGGCAGCAAGCTGAGACTGGAAGTTGTCTGCTGCCAACCAGAACTGTAGGATATTCACTGCGTCCTCTTTCTCCATGTACTGGGAAGGAAAAACACAAAAGAGGAAAATCAGGCTATACACAGATTTCTCTCACTATCTCTCGTCTATATCTAAGCCCCAACTATTAAAATATAGGACATAAAGGAAAAAAAAAAAAACCCCACAAAAGAAACCCCCCCCACCCCAAAACAGATCCACTTGTTCAGTTAATGCCAGTCTGCAACTTACAGTCATTTGAGATTGAATAATTTTTAAATATTCTTTTAGGGGGAAAAAAACAAAAAAAAAACCTAACAACAACAAAAAGCAACCACTACACAGCTGAATGCAAACTTCAGTGACTGGAGTAACAATTAGAGATGGGTTAGTGGCTCCTCGCTGGCAAACATACAAAAGGTAAACCAACCAGACCAAATCTTTTATACCTGATCATTTCCACCACTCCACACAGCCATACTAACCTGAACAAATGCTGACTTAAACTTCAGGCAAAGAGAGGGAGTGAAAACACAAATCAGCTGAATAACTATCCTTGTCAAGAGGCAGGATGCAAGTGTGAGTCTAAGTTACTGCTTTGTGAGACCGGGAATCCTCTTATCTCGACTAATAGTCATTTGCTTTGCAACAAAAGAATTTCATTTGCTGAAGCCTAACAAATCCCATCACTCTACACTGTATGCCTCACAGAGATGTATATATACTCATTGCTTGTTGCAAATGCTTCAGTCCGATCAAGGGCAATCCTATCAAGTGGCTAAAGTAAAATGAAGACAGTAGGAAAATATTTACTTTTCCTTCTCTCTTCTAAAGTCTGCTCTGCAAACACTTATGCACTGGAATCAAGTATCAAATTTCGTGGTTTTAAAACAGCTCTAAATAACTAAAAATCTGCATTCTCTTATAAGCAGTTTAATTAGGTTTTTCAAAATTAGAGTTACTTTACTTTGAATTTTCATGTTCTCTTTAGTCTGACTAATGCCATTCAAGTACTCTTGCCATTAGATACAACTTAAAACAGTAATCACAGTACTTAAATCCACCTGATCAGTTTGGAAATGATTTGTGTCTTCTACGTTATTTCCTATAGACAGGGCCCAGCACGTACAGCTCAGAGGCTGGAATGCTCTAACAGAGTGTGAAAGGAAATGCAGACTTTACCTCAGAGAAATAAAAGAGGGCTGACTCACAGAAGAGAATGTCAGCCAGGTAAACAGTTCCACTGGTCAGCACTTCAATCTGGTATTTACAGAAATGGTGACTTCGCAGAAACTCACTAAAGTGCCTGCACGTGGACGAAAAGGTAAAGTTTGAGGGACCGACCAAGGAAAGGGCTCATCTGGGAAGAACACACTCTTTCCCCACTGTGCTACTGCATCTTAACGGCCTAGGTCAACGTGACCTCCCTTCCCACGGCGCCTTCCTGATTCCTCTCCCTGTAAGTAATCTCTCCCACCTTCTAATGACGTGCAGCTCTCCTCTGATAGCTAACTCACGCTACCTTGTATTACAGTAAGCAAAGAACATGCCCTATTTCTCTTATTAGGCTGTAATTTCCTTCAAAGCAGGCACTACATCCAAACTGTGCATAGCACCCTTTTCATAAATGTTAAATGAAAGAATGAATATGGAGGTTTTTTTTTGAGGGCATGCAGCAATAATTAATCTAAGAAAACTTTGGAGGCAGTTTCAACAAATCTATGTGGATTTAGTAATATGGCATCCATTAAGCTTAAAGCATGCACTAACAAATCAGGATATCCACCTGAAGACATGCATTGTTTAAATGGATAAACCAATTACTATATCACATTACAGTCACAATCACCCCTAAGGACTTTGGAATTAAAAATAAATTCTTTTAACTTAGGAAATACTAACATTAAAAATAAAAATCTGTTTTATTTTTAATAGAACTCACGTAATTTATATTTAAAAGAAACCATTACCCAAGATAGTCTTAGGAAATGTCTATAAGATCCTGTAAACATTCAAAATATTTAAATCCTCAAAGATAGTTTGGTTTTAGTTATTCCTGAGGCTGAACCCGAACTACCCAGAATGCACAACATGGAAATATGAAATCGACGTACTCGTGCTCCATTGCACTGAAGACTATGGACTGTGCTGAGACAAAACAGTTGGGATCCACCTGCCCATCTTCTCCACAAATCTTTGCTGTAAAAGAAATGGTAAATAATTTTTCTCTAAGTCCAAACTATACACATTTGTAAATCAAAGTAGGAAGTACCTGTAAAGGCGTAAAGATGAGCAGGTTTTAAATGGAATTAAGAGAAAATACAGGTGAACAGCTGATTTTGAGGTAGGGAAGGTCTTTCTAAGCATAAATGCAAAAGCACAAATCAAGAGTCAACAATATAAAATTAACTTCTATACCTTAAAACACCCCCAAAACAAAATAAAAGGGTAAACTGGGGGAAAAAATTTGCAGCATATATGACAGTTTATGAATGACAGATTATTTTCATTCATGTATCAAGAGCTCTTACAAACTAACAAGAAAGTCTTGAAAGAAAAATGGACACGAAGAAAAATTCACTAAAGAACAAATATAAAATGGCCAATATAAAAAGATATGCGTGCTCACTAGTAACCAAGTAAATATAATTATAGATTAGAAGGAGGAGGCACACCACCTTCTGTCTAGTAGCTTGGCACAAAATTGTTTTAACAATCCATAAGCTTAATTGTCTAATGATACATATGCTTGGGCAAGGGCATGGGAAAACTGACACTTGTGTTAGTGGGCATATAAATGGGTGTATCTTTTTATGGGGGGCAATCTGGCAGTTTCTAGCATAAGCTTTAAAAATGAACATACCCTTGCAATCAGCAATTCTATCTCTAGGGTTGTAACCTAAGGAACTACGGATTTGTGAAAGAATTATCTGTTTATCAAAATGTTATTTGGTAGAAATTTTAAAACATAAAATGGGCTAAAATTAGGAACTGCCTAGATAAACTGCAACAAATCAATAAGCTGTTTACTAGCTAGCTCTTAAACATGGCTGGAAAAACCCCACCATGATGGCTGGTTTCACTTCAAGTTCAGGACCTTAGTGGGACCTTCATGAAACCCAAGGATCGTGCTACAGTTACCTGGTCCATTACAGCACACCTCCTCTCTCTGTAGACGTCTTAGCGCCTCTTTCTCTACCCTCTTTGCTGATGACTTGGAAAACAAGCAATCAGAAAACAAATTCCATCCACTCCCACCACCTCTACCAACTTGCCCGCATCACTGACTCTGCAATCTCTCCTGCTACTACAGATGAACTGTCCTCGCTCCTATCTGGAAAACTCTAGGAGTACCGGGTCCCATCCTCTCTTACCTCCTCAAGGCACCTCTTCTACAGCAACTGCCCCCTCTCCCTACTGTATCAACTTCCTCCTACTGCCTCATTCTCACCAGCTATGAACTGTTTGTATGTTATACATATATATGTGTTTGTATACTGTCATACACCTTACATGCTGTGACACGTCACCTTAAAAACAAAACCCCAAACCACTGTCCCTTGACTAACACCCCCTGCCAGCTCACCTTTGAGTAAAATGCCTCGAACAGTTGCCATACTTGCTGTCTCCGCTCCTCCTATTTGCTTTTAAGATGCCTCCAGTTAAGTTTTGTCCCTAATGGTCCACTGTAATTAAGATGCCCACCACTGCCAAGTCCATCCCATTCCTGGTATTCACCTTACTTAACCTATCAGCGCAAATTGCCATCTTTGATCACTCCCTTCCTCCCAGAATGAGTTTTTCACTTGGCTTCCAGAAAAAACTACTCTCTTGATACACAGCTGATGCAGGAAGGCCTCCACTACTGGCTGTTTCTTCCAGATGTTAGACCTGCCACAGCACCCAGTCCTCAGACCTCGCGTCCTCACTCACCACACTCCTCCCAGGGATGTTACTCAGTTTCATGGCTCTAAACCCAACCATAGGCTGATCACTTCCAAACATACATCTCCAACCTGGACCTCTCTCACGAGCTCCTAACGTTAACATCCAACTGCCTACTTGGTGCTCAGCATTTGGATGTCTGAAACCCAAACTCCCGATGTTCTCTGTCAGCCATTACTCCTGCATCTTCTTCACCTTACAAATACTCTCCCAGGTATGCAGGTTTTAAAAAAATGAAGTCAGGGCTTCCCTGGTGGGGCAGTGGTTGAGAATCCACCTGCCAATGCAGGGGACACAGGTTAGAGCCCTGGTCCGGGAAGATCCCAAATGCCACGGAGCAACTAAGCCTGTGCGCCAAAACTACTGAGCCTGCGCTCTAGAGCCCATGCTCTACAAGAGAAGCCACCACAGTGAGAAGCCCACGCACCACAACCAAGAGTAGCCCCTGCTAGACGCAACTAGAGAGCTGGCGCGCAGCAACGAAGACCCAACGCAGCAATCAACCAATCAATCAATAAAAATAAAACTATAAAACTTCTAAAAAATATATTGTTAAAAAAAAATGAAGTCATGCTTGATTCCTTTTTTCCTCTCACACCACTCCCTTCCAAACCATCAGCACGTTCTGTCAACTGTACCTCCACAATATTTTAAAAATTCCACCACTTCAAGGATTTGTGGAAGATGGAACAAGCAGTGGAAGCACAGTTTTGAGGTCAATCTAATTCCCCACATAAAAACAAACAAATTAAATAGCAATACCCAAAACCCAGAGATAACATCTACAACAAAACCAGGCAGGTAGGATACACAATAAAAGCTTAAGTGGAGGCTTCTTCAAACTATAACCTACTTGAAGTACAGCTATATTAAAATATTCCAGCTTGAAGAGGAGACAAATAATTAGGGCAGGATTCAAAAGAATGAGGCCCAAAGAGGAAAAGTGAGTGGTCTAAAGACACAGAGGTAATTAACATTTTAAAATGCACAGTAATACACACTGGAATGGAAACTTCTTGATCATTAAATGTTATCAACTTGATCCTTCAGATTTTTCCCCTCATGGGATTACATCGTTAATTTGATAAAGTTTAAGGAAAGGAAAATTAGAACTGCAGTGACACTTCATTTTAAAATTTCTGACTCAAAACTCTCTCCTTTTCCCACCTACCCCAGACAGTTTAGTTACCAATTGGTACAAACACCCAGTGGAATTACTAGCCAACCAATTCCTCAAATAGTCAAATGCTAATCTGTTCGGACACCTAACAATTATTATTAGGCACAATTGGTCTAGGAAAGTCTAAAAGATGGTAGCAACAAATTTTCAGATAGAAATAGAGGAACTACATAGAAAAACCAAAATCCCAAGACAACATCTGCAACAAAACTGGGTGAAAACTCCAAAATACAAGCAGACGGGGACAGCCACCAACAGCCACAAGACCCATGTGTCACAGGCGTCTGCGAGGAAGAAAAAGGAAACAATGGGGGCAGCACCCGGCAGCCTGCGGCAGACAGCAGGTGTGCCCTGGAAGTATGCAGCCAGTTCAAGAGGCTCAGCTGAGACCGGGAGGGGCTCTGCTGTCCCCAATAACGAGGAGAGACCGAAAGAGCCCCAGGCTGGGTCGACTCTGCTAGGAGCAGAATAATAGGCTTTCGTTCAGAAATCAAAAACACTTCATTTTTGTATTAAAAACTCAAAACTTAGTGCTAGGACTTGATGAGAGTATAATAAATATCTGTTGAATGAATAAATCAACCACTTGTATCTGTGGTTACAGGTGTACCTGAAGTCCTTCTGACACAACATAGTCAAAGCTTTCAAACATTTTTATTATGACCTACAGAAAAATCTATTTATGTGACTCAGTATATATATGTACATATGATGGAAACAATGTTCTGAAGTGGTGTGTATTTGCCCTTATTACTGTGAAGCACTTTGATTTTTCCAGTCTAGTCTTTTTTGGCAGGGGGGTGAGGACCTATGAGGAGACTGGTCCTAATCCAGAGTTTGAAAAACACTGCCGAATAGCATACTAGTTACCATGTAGGGGTCTGGTTTCAAGTCCTAACTGCCGTGTCTGAGCTGTCACCTTGGGCAAATTACTTACCTTCTCTGTGCTTCCTCACTTATAAAATAATAACTGTATTTATGCTGCAAAGTTCTTTAGAAGATTGAATGAGTTTGTCAATGGGAAATGCTTAGAATATTGTCTGGAACACAGCAAGTACTCAGTAAACATGTGCTACTATTATTCAAGTCAAAAATCTCATAATTTGGGTCCAACAAGTAAGAGGGAAACTTTTGAAGTGAGCTACAATCAGATATAATAAAGTAGCCTGAAAACAGACAAGGAAAGTATATGTTGAATTACATGTTCATGAAAAATTCTCTTAATAATAACCAAATTTTTTTTTTTTTGGGTGCCATAGCTTCAAGCACTGCTTACCTACGATGTCATTTCTCATTGCTTCTGTAATTGGTATTGGTTTAGCAGCATCTGGAGATATATATTTGGTAAAAGTATTTACTGCATCTTGTTCTATACCTGCAAGGTAAGAAGGGGACAACTTCAAAAATCAAAAAGCAACTTGGACCAGTAACGGACCATATTCATGAATAGCAAGGTTTGTTTGCCGTGCGCCCAGGCACACACACACAAACATATCTTTTATTACAAATAAATATCTTTGTAAATATACTTAGGACAAAACAGCCTCCATGGTAACGTTGCTTCTGCACTGCTTGGTTCTTGGAGCAGAGGAGATACATGTGACCGCGCGGCCCTCCTCGCCTCAGCTCACAAGCTGATGAGTAACCGCAATCACTGTACACGTCCTCTTTCCATCTCTCCTCTCCAAAGTCCTGACCTGAAGGACTTACATAGCGGGAGCTCAAAGATCATTTTTAAATCTACATTTTACATATTCTACCAAATTTCATATTCATGAACACATTCATTTGACCTTCAACAACCCTGGAACGTTAAAACAGTGAATCTCAAATTTCCTAGTCTTGGGACTTTGAAATCTTAAAAATTACTGAGGACCCTAAAGAGCTTTTGTTTATGTGAGTTTTATCTATAGATAGTAAGGTATTAAAAATTAAAATGAGAAAAAATTATTGTTTAAATTAACAATATTAAATCTGTTAAAAGTTAACATAAATACTATTTTTTACAGAAAATAACTGTTTCCCAAACTGAAAAAAATTAATGAGAAGAGGGCATCAATTTACATTTTTGCATCTCTATTCCTCTTGATAACAAACTGTTAGATTCTCAAATCTGCTTTGGCATTCAATCTGTTGTGCATCTTTGTTTTGGTTGAAATATACTGTGCTCTCATGATATGAGAAGAAATGTATGTATGTGTGTGTGTGTATATATATAGTATGTATGTGTGTATATATATAGTATGTATGTATGTATGTGTGTGTATATATATAGTATGTATATGTGTATATATAGTATGTATGTGTGTGTAGTATGTGTATATAGTATGTATGTGTGTGTATACATATAGTATGTGTGTGTATACATATAGTATGTATGTGTGTATATATAGTATGCATATGTGTGTATATAGTATGTGTATGTCTGTGTATATATATAGTATGTCTGTGTATATATATAGTATGTGTGTATATATATATATAGTATGTATGTGTGTATATATATAGTATGTGTGTATATATAGTATGTGTATGTGCGTATATATATATAGTATGTGTGTGTATATATATGTGTGTGTATATATAGTATGTGTGTATACATATAGTATGTGTGTATACATATAGTATATATGTATATAGTATGTATGTGTGTGTATATATAGTATGTATATGTGTGTATATAGTATGTATGTGTGTCTGTGTATATATATAGTATGTGTGTATATATAGTATGTGCATATATATATATAGTATGTATGTGTGTATATATAGTGTGTGTGTGTGTATATATAGTATGTGTGTATGTGTGTGTATATATATAGTATGTGTGTCTATATAGTATATGTGTGTGTATATATAGTATGCATTGTGTGTATATATACAGTATGTGTATGTGTGTGCATATATAGTATGTGTGTATATATATAGTATGTATGTGTGTGTATATATATAGTATGGGTGTAAGAGTATATATATATAGTACGTGTGTATACAGTACGTGTGTATCTATATAGTATGTGTATGTGTGTATATATATAGTGTGTGTATATAGTATGTGTGTGTATATATATAGTATGTATGTGTATATATAGTATGTACGTGTGTATATAGTATGTATGTGTATATAGTATGTATGTGTGTGTATATATAGTATGTATGTGTGTATATATAGTGTGTCTGTGTATATATATATAGTATGTGTGTGTATGTGCGTGTATATATATAGTATGTGTGTATATATATAGTATGTATGTGTTATATATATATAGTATGTGTGTGTATAGTATGTATGTGTGTATGTGTGTATATATATATAGTATGTATGTATGTGTGTATATAGTATGTATGTGTGTATATATATAGTATGTATGTGTATATATAGTATGTATGTGTGTATATAGTATGTGTGTGTGTATATATAGTATGTGTGTATATATAGTGCGTATGTGTGTATATATATAGTATGTGTGTGTATATATATAGTATGTATGTGTGTATGTGTGTGTATATATATAGTATGTGTGTATATATAGTATGTGTGTATATAGTATGTATGTGTGTATATATAGTATGTATGTATGTATATAGTATGTATGTGTGTATATACATAGTATGTGTGTGTATATATAGGATGTGTGTGTGTATATATACAGTATGTGTGTGTGTATATACAGTATGTGTGTGTGTATGTATATATATAGTATGTATGTGTGTGTGTATATATATAGTATGTGTGAGTATATATATATAGTATGTGTATATAGTATGTTTGTGTATATATATAGTA